CAACATAAAGATGCAAGTTGAATTCTTGGAAGATGCCCCATGAGGTGCTGTCTGTTCTCAGCCGGTGGACTGGACACTTCCAAGGGCAGTCAACTGTACGGAGGATCACCAAGCACTGGCTGTTCCCTGTGTCCCATGACCTCTCGCCAGGTTGGCATTCCTCCGTGGTAGAAAGCACACCCTCATTAAACTGTGGAAAGAAGGCTCTGATGCTGTTAAATGTGCCATGTCCTTCAACAACATATGGCCAGTCGCCCAAAATGGTCCCCTTTCTAGTTTTTCTCCCCGGTGAGCTAGTCAATGGGAAGCCCTGGTTTTGCTCTTGATCTTTTATCTAATTGCTCTGAGAAGCTAATCATTGACCAGCAGGGCCCATTCACCTCTGTCAGTCAAATTGCACGCAATGGCTCCCAAAGAAAGTGGGTCAGTCAGGAACGTTGCTCCTTTTATTGAAACACTTAGCCACAAGGACAATTGGGACTCGGTTTGGCCCTTCTGTTGTGACTGAGGAGCTCCAGGCAATGGGTGTTGTTTGCCCGAACATGTTTTCAACTCATAGGAAGGACATATTGGAGAAACCTACAACCTCAAGTTCATCAGTAGCCACTCCCATCCATTTGAAGAAGGGTCCAACTGTTGGGTTATACACTCTGAGGGCTGAAAGGAGTCTAGGATGCTAACTTACCCACCATCTTCTCAGGTGAGCAAAAAGAAGGCCAGACAGTCTAATTTACTTGCCCAGGATGAGACAACTGCCTCCAAACGAAATGTCCTGAAGCCTCTGTATTGATTTGACATCATATTTTGAGACTTTGTTATTACAAGCCTGGATTTGAGACACGGGGAAACCTTTCAAGGCCAACTGTTTTAGGATCCTAGTGTTCCTTTCTTTGCTTCTGTATGTGAGATACTTGTGATGTAATAGGAAATTCCGTCACATGGCCCACCCCAAAGCATTGCCTAGGAGAGAAGGCAGCGGGCAGGAGCCTTTGAACCCCAAGTTCCTGCTAGTTCTCCTTATTTAATTGTGAGATTTGGAACAGGTCACCTGTCTTCTCTGTAAGGCAGATTCTGGGAGTTAAAACCCCCAGAGGTGAAATCTTAATTCTACCCCTTGTTGCATATAAAGTGGATCAAGTGACTGTACTCCTCTGAGCCTCCTTTCCATTCATTTCTGAAATGAGGAATCTCAGTACACACCTCCGAGGATCACAGTTAGAGAAACCAAGGTGCTTGTTCCCTGTGTTGCCTACCAAATGTAAACAAATGCTAAGTCTCCATAGCCAGAGGGGCCCTGTGGGTACTGTGGGGGAAGCAGTGGGCTGATTACCTACCAAGTCAGTAGTTCAAGTCCAACAGAAGCTTTCACGACAGAAAAAAATGAGGCTATCAGCTCCCAAAATGAATTATAGCCTCAGAAACACTAGATGGGGTCACCATGAATCAGAGTTGACTGGATGGCAGTGGGCTTGGTTGGCTTAATCTTAGCCATAATTCAATTGCCAGTGGTCCAATTCTGGATCATGGTGACCTTTTGTGTCTCAGACACTTGTTAACTGGACCCCACAGGGCTGTCAGTATCTGGTTTTTCAGATCTAGATTATACCAAGTCTTTTTTCCCCCAGGTGCCTCTGAGGCATGTCAATCTTCAACCTTTTGGTTCATAGCTGAGCACATCAACTCTGTCTATGAAATTAGGAGATGAATGATATGCCCTCTATCAAAGGCTCTTTTCCCTCTAGGAGCTCTGGTGGGGTAGAGGGCTACATGCGGGGCTGCTAATCATAAAGTCCGCAGTTAGAACCCACCAATTTCTCCTTGGGAGAAGTGTGAGGCTGTCTACTCTGCCAAAAATATAAAAGCTCAGAAACCCACAGGGGCTTCCCTGTCCCATAGGATTCCTGTGAGTTGGAATCCACTCAAGTCAGTGAATGCATCTTCCCTCCAGTTAATAATGGATATGACATATTTCTTGGATGCTCTACCCTATTTTCAGAAAGCATATGACTTTTCCTCCTCAGCTGATTAGGAACCATGCCTCCATCTTAGCATGAAGACAGGTAATCAGTGTAACCACCTGATGGTGAATGAACTCAAGGGGCCTCACCATTGGGAGACTAAACAGACCAATGAGTAGAAGATAGACCATGTGTAAGCCACTGCGGGCCTTTTGAGGTGAGAGACCATCGAGTCTAACTTGAGAGGAGAGGTACACTCTTTTCAACTCCAAGATGAAATGAGTTGTTCAGGGTCTCATGGCCATGGGTCGGGGACTTCAGAAAAGACCAAGGTTCCAATTGGGTCGGTGATTAATTTCATCAAGAAACACACTGTGTTCCATGCCTGCTGGGCTCCCACAGGGCCAAGATGTCTCCTCTCTTCCTTTGCTGACTTAATGAAAGCCCTCTGAGTAGTCTCTCTGACCTCTTCCATAGGGGATTACATCTGATTTTTAAATTTTATTTTAGCATTTATTTTCTCTGGTGCCCTCATTGCCTCAGTCTGCTGCCAGAAATTAACAGCTACTAGGAGAGCTAGACATAGTAAAACCCACTGAGCCTCCAGTAATATCGTTTTCACACCTTCGTACTTCTCCAAATGGCATCTCACCCAGTGCCTTTACCCTCAGCGCTACTGAAACCACTCGGGAATCTGCTAGTGTGGAGGGAACCTGTCGTCCCCTCTCTTCTTTTCTGTGTGTTCTTGCCTTGTTTGTGTGTTTGTGTGGACATACAAAATGCCACTGGTAATGACTATTTCTCCTTCCCACTGGTAACCAATAAACATTACTGGGAGAAAGGGGGATACACAGCAAAAAAATGGAGGCATGCAATCCAGAACCTCCTTCTATATCTAGTCTCTCATAGATACTTCTTATGAAGTGTGAAATTCATGCCTCGTCACTGATGCGCTGCTTCAAAGGAAACTGGAACTTTGGATTGAGAAGGGGCAGAGGCATGTCACTGAAAAGAACGCCTAGAACAAGCACTGGAATTGCGCCCCTGTTCTAATATCTAGGCGCCATTGTGGGTTACGTGTTGGACTGCTAACCACAAAGGCAGCAGTTTGAAACCACTAGCCATTGCACAGGAGAAAGATGAACTTTCCTACTCCCACAAGTGATTATCTCAGAAGCCCACAGGCGCAGTTGTACCCTGTCCAACAGGGTCCCTCTGGGTCAGAATTGATTCAATAGCAGTGGATTTGCTTTGGTTTGGTCCAGACAGCTAACCTCCAAGTTGTAAGTTAACTGTCATAATATCTGTGGCAGCAAGGTGAGGCTGTCTGTTCCTGTAAAGAATGACACCCTTGAAAAACCTGATAGAATGTTGCCGTGGGTCAGGAATCGCAGCCCTGCTGGCTTAGTGCTTACATATTGGGTTACTAACCATAAGGTCAGCAGTTCGAAAGCACCAGTCACTTCTCAGTAGAAAAAGAGACTTTCTACTCCTATAAAGAATTACAGTCTTGGAAACCCACAAGGGCGGTTCTCCCCGGTCCTATCAGGTCACTATGAGTCAGCATCTACCGGATGGCAGGAAGCTAGTTAGTTACCATATATACTTGTGTATAAGCCTAGTTTTTCAGCACATTTCTAATGCAGTTTTTGTGGTAAAATTAGGTGCCTCGGCTGATACTCGGATCAGCTTATACTCGAGTATATATGGTAGTTAGTTTGTTGGTTGGTTCGTGGTTTGTGGGTCAGGATCATGATGGCAGTGGGTACCATAACATCAGCTCAAAAAACAAGTTGGGCTCATTACAATTTCCTTCATACCTGGTGGCATGACGCATAAATAACAACTGCGCCTTCCTTGTCTTCAGCGATGAAATTGCTCTCTGACAAGCTCAAAGGTGTTTGAGCCTCTTTTCCTCCTGTTCTCTGCAGAACAAGTTCACACTGTCTGCCATGATTCCCAGATCCAAAACCAGTCTCACTGCCCTCGAGTGACTCAATACAACCCTGTAAAGCCAGGTAGAACTGCCCCTGTGGGTTTCTGAGACTGTAACTCTTTATGAGAGCAGAAAGCCTCATCTTTCTACCAACAACTGGCTGGTGGCTTTGAACTTCTGACCTTGCAGTTAGCAGCCCAATTGGTAACTCCCTACTCACCAGGGCTCCTGCCATGGAGACCCTCAGATGTGGAAGCAGCAGTGTATCTTGACTGAGTAATCCTGACCAGCTAGTGTTGGAGACTCACAATGGTTAACAGACACTGCACAGTGATGCCACCTTTACCGGCTGTACTTAGACTCACCTCTGAGAAGGAGCCTCGGAGGTCATGGGCCATCAGTCTTGTTCAGAAAGGTTATCTGATTTTCTCAAAGTTGTAGTGCTAGTCAGAGGGGGAGCCTAGCAACTCTCACTCAAGCCAAGAGCTCTGTCGACTTGCACCATTGCCTTCTTTCCTTCAGACGGCTTTGGGACCCAACAGGGTCAGAGCCAGATGCTGACTCAGTGCAAAATGAAGCCAAGGTAGACTTGAACGTGGCTTGAGCTCTCCTGGGGCCGCACCAACAGACTAGGGCTGCCTTTACCCTTGTTGCCTGCATTGGGCAGACCCCAGAGAGCTGTGTAGATAGATCATTTATATGAGTTTGACAACAACTAATTTGGCCTAATGGTTCTCTGGATAGTCTTCAGCCCAATCTAAAAATGTCTTAATTATCCCGGATCCACTTCATTGATGCTGGTCCATTTTGAGGAGAGGCATCTTGTTGGCGGGAAGGAAACTATTTTAGCAAATGAAGGGGTGAAATGAGTGGAATTTGTTCCTCGATTAGTACTGTCAGCTGGCTGATTAAATACTTATTTTATTGTCAGCGTGGTTTCCCAACTCCTGGGTTGGTGGTGGGGAGATGGCCCCAGGCTCCAGCAGACTGGCAGGGAACTGCCAAATTGGGTTGGGGTTGGCATGACCCTTTGACTCCTTGGGAGGTGTGGAAGCCAACAGCAGCATCCATCCAATGTTTGAGTGGCGTGTCAATTCTTCTCTCAGGTCCATAAACGGTGGCTCCGGTTCCTCCCTTTCTGAGCCTCGGCCAGAGCGGTCCAGCCGAGCCTTCTTCCTCCGG